TCAGCAGGTTTGTAAAGAGAAAATAAACTGCAGACTGTAGGAGGACTTTAGAGTTGAACAGTTGTTTTGGGTTTTGTTTTTGTTTTTTTTCCAGAAAAATATAATTTCAGCATCAGGATGTGGGATCCCTTGCTCATGAGAGGGGTTCCAAGAGCAGCTGTATGCCACCTATGTATGTATGCCCCTAGTTAATCATTAACTTGTCTTTCTCTTTCACTTGCTTCTGAAAGCTCTTAGTATAGTTCACCAAGACCAGATAACAAATGATACTAGCAGTTAATGCTGCCCTGTGCTCCTGTGTCTTGGCTTGCCGTAAGTTTAACCTTTTCCTCCACTGGTTTAAGAGTCTGATTTCTGCAGGTGTGGATAGTGTGGGTAGGAAGTGCATCCCTATGGTGTATAAGGACAAAGAAGAACGAGTTTGTGCGAAGGTGTGAGGAACAGAATGGGAAGACAATTCAATCACTTCAGTTCGTTGCGGGTAACCAGTTATTACCGTACTGTCAAGAGGACTGATTCAGATTGATTTTTTTCTCTGTCCAGTCCCAATTGACAGTACTATAAAACACCTCCACGGATTATACGGGCTCAACTTCGGTTGTTTCAGCATGGACAGCAAGTACTAAAGGCTCAGGTCTGCAATGGTTAATCTTGCATTGGCTTCAGTGACAGGAGGAATAGATTTAGATAAGCAGAAAGGAGGAATAGATTTAAATAAGCAGAAAAATAATCTGTCTTTCCGCACTCTAAAAATAGGCCAGCCAGGGAAGGACTGAAACATAGGAGTATATACAATGTGGAGAAGCAAGTTTTTGCTTTCGTCTGTACTATGGGTAATCCCATGGGAACAGACTGCATTCCCCAGGGCTTTTAGTCAGATACTTTTTAGATAATGCATCCACATAACATTTGAAGTCAGAGGTTTGGGATGGGGGCATAGCTAATGGCATTTAATAGTGAATGTCTCCTGCAGAAGGTGTGTGAGAGGAAAACAAAAACAAAAAAACCCTCCTTTTTACCAATTAATCTGCATATTATCAGTGGGGAAGTAGAAATGTACAACAAAAGATGAAAGCAAAGCCATAATGAAACCGTGCGAGTGAAGTAGTTTCCATTTTCATTTGGCCTCAGAGGAAGCAGGGAGAAATGCAGTGGCCCGAGGTTATGTGGTGCCCTGGTCAAACTTCCTCCTACGTCTTTTTTCCTCCACTGCCGCAAGCAATCTGTCACTCCTCCCCTCAAAGCGCTCTCCACCTACGTACCAAAGCGTTACTGTAAGGAGCACCCTCTTCCCTCCCTCCTTCACACCCCACATGTCTCTTCTTGCTAGCAGAAGAAAAACGCCATCTTGCTAGAGATCTGGTCATCCCTGAGCATGGATTTGAGACTGAAGGCGTTCAATGCCTTTTACAATCAGAGCTTTGAAAGCTCTATTTGCAGGTCTATTGTGGTAGTTTTTCATTTGCATGTAATTATACATATGCAGGTGGGCAGGGGTGATTTGCCTCCCACTTGCTCGGCTCTGCCTCCCTTCCTGAGAGAACTGCTGCCTTCCCTTCCCGCTCGCAGCCTCCCACGCCAGCCGGCGCTGAGAAGTGCTGCAGAAAACTGACCAGCTCCCAACCCGCCCACCTGAGGAGGAGGAGCACCAGCAGCAGCAGCAGCACATTTTTCTCTTTCTGCTTTTTGAACACAGTTAAAAAGAGCTGTAGCGTGGGTGGAAATAGCTGTAGGGAGCGTGTGTGGGAATGGGGCCCAAGGAAAGTGAATTTTCTGTTGGTAGGACAGTTACTTCTAGTAGACTAGGAAAAAAAAAAAAGAAAAAGCAAGGATATCTTATTGCGGAGGATGCCTTTGGGTATATAATTAGTTCTTGAGATTGAGTTTCTCAGGTCTGCAAAGAAAAGAAACTGTTCCTTTTCCCCTGGTAGTCCAAGTGATGATGCAGGGGCAGCCTGCACCCCTCACTCAGGGCTTCAGCAGCCTGCCCAGTGAGTGACATTTGCTGTCATCATGTCTCCTCTTCTGCTTGCAATGTATGGCCTTGATCCAATGGGAGTCAGAGTTGCCTGTATGCGGGGAGAGAAAAAGGCACGTGTTTTTCACACACTATGGGTCTATATTTCAAAATCTCATCCCTGCT